ACGCGACGAGGCCATGGCCCCAGGCATCGCCCCAAACCCCACCCGGGGAACGCGATGTGGTTGAAAAGGGCGGGATTTCTGCCGCGCGCAAGGTTTGCTGGGCCTTCGTTCGCTCTCGAGCTCGAAGGCTGTTCCGGGAGTGCGATGGCTCATGTGCATATATATATATATATATATATATATATACACACACAAGAAAAACAAGAAAAAGGGTCGTTGCCCAGCCCTCGGCTCTATTCGTTGTCGAACTCGGAATTGCTGCAGTCCGCGCGCGGGCAAGCCCGTGCGAGCGCAGGACTGCTAGAATTCAGCCCCTCGGATTCGAATGTCTGCCCGCGGCGCAGAGATCTGGAACCGCGGGCAATGTCCTGCCGCGGTGGCGCGTGGTTTTGTGGCCCCTTTCCCACGAGCAACCCAACTTACCGCTGGGGCGCGGTGGTGGCATGCTGGCACATCGCGGGCCTGAGCGGGCTTGGACAGGGCGGCAGGGCCGCCGCGCTTCGCCGCTGCGTTCGCGGGAGCCCCCCCCCCTCCGACAGAGGGGGCCCCCGGGGGCGCCGGGAGCTCTCGGGTCGGACGGCTCCTGCCCCGCAGCGGCCGCGGCGGGTGTTGGACGGCTCCTGCCCCGCAGCGGCCGCGGTGGGCGTTGGACAACGCGTGGCGCTGGGCATCGTCCCCCTTCTTTCGGCACCCGCTCCTGGATTCCAGATCCAGATCGAACAGCTAAGCACCGCAGAAACATAGCATGTGGGCGAAGTTCCGAAACGTTCTGTTTTTGCTGAGTTGGTTTTCCAAGGTCGGCTTCTCCTTCTGGGGCGGGGGTGGTGCGGAGTCCGGTACGCGCGGCGGGCGTCGCCCCCCGCCGCGTGGGCGGCTTGTCAGCAACGCGCCGCTCACGATCCCCAGCATGGGGCAGGCGGGGGGCCAAGTCAGGCTCAAGGACTTCGCGCGGGAGCCGACGGCCCCGATGGATAGCGCGCGGCGCGCCGACGACGCCTTCTCGCGACGCAGGAAGGCGCGCGGCGAGGTGGGGGGCCCGTCCACGGCGCGCGCGCCAGACGAGGCTGGCCGGCATAGACTTGGGCGAGGCCGAGCAGCATTTGCGCGCCGCGCTCGCCGGCACAATTGTCGACACCGCCCAGTTGCGCATCAGCCCTGCTAGCTGACCGGCGAGCGACTTGAAGCCCCAGCAGGAGAAGGCAGCGGGGATTCACGGGCAGATCGAACCCGGATCAACCACCTTGGATGAAGAGGCCAAGAAGCAGGAGCACATAAAGATATCCTGGCTGCGCCCCGAGGCCGCGTCGGTCGCGCCGGAGATCGCCGACTCGACGGACGTCGCGCTCAACTGGCGCTGGCAGCTTGCGGCGGCTGGGGAACTCTCGCCGAAGTGCGATTGCGCCGGGTCAGTTAAGTGCAAGGGGGGCGGCTGCTGCACGATCGTCGTCGCGACGGCGGCAGCGCCGGCGGTGGCGAGAGCGACCGAGGCGGCGCAGATCGAGCAGGCCGTGGAAGGGCCCCGCGTGATAGGCGCGGGCCAGAGGGTTCGCGTAACTTATCGGAGGACATCACGCGCGGGGTCGTCGCTTGCGACTTCGGGCCCGTGGAATCGCCCTTTCCCACGACATTCCACGGCGCTGGCCCCTTTCGCGGCCGCATGGCCGCCCGCCGCCCAGCGCGTCGCCCAGCGCGACGCGGGGAAGGGCCGCCGCGTCGCCTACCTTGCGGCGGGGGGCAGCGATTACGCGGTCTTGGCCATCGGCCGCGACGAGAGCCCGAGCAGGCGCCCCCCACTCCCCCCCCGTCTGGCCCCCGCCCCCCCGCCCGGCCCCTCAACCGCGACCCCCCCGCCCATCGCAACCCCTTCCGCCCCCGGCCCCCGCGCCGCCAGGAGCCCCGCGACTGCGCGGACCTGTCCTGCGAGGAGGGCGTGGCCGGCGGGGCGGGGGCCGCGATGCAGACGGGGCGCAGCGTGGACGCGCTTTGCGCTGGCACAGCCAGACGGACGCTGGCCGCGGCGGTCTCCAGGGCGTGCCCGCAACTGCGCCTGCCACCAGGGGTCTCAAGTTCGTCAACAGCGGCGCGCCGTCGCCGATCATGACCCCTGCGCGCCGCGCAGAGGATGCGATGGGGGGCGCGCTCGCGGCGGCCGTCCTCCCGGAGGAGGTGGGGGCCGCGCTCGGGCAACAAGTTGAGCAATCCAAGTCGCGCCAGAATATGGCCAAATTCGCCGCCTGATTCGCGTCGAAGGGACGCGTCCTCACACCCCGACTCGCGGCGCCAACCGCAGCGAACATCCTCGTCCTCGAGCCAGGGGCGGCGACCCACGAGGGCGATGCCTGCGCGGCGAAAGCCTTGGCGACCGCGACGGCCGAAGCGCGGCGCCCTCGCTGCACCTCCCGGCAGGCCGGGGTTTGCCGGGGCACCCTGCAGGAGCACGACGCAACCATAGGCCAAAGGGTCGTCTTCGCCCCGCGCGGGGCCCCGTCGGCGCGCCCGTGCTGGCTCGCCGACAAGCAATCGCGGGCCTGCAGGCGCCGTTCAAGGCGCCGTCCTCGCCGGGGCACGCCAGGGCACCCTCTTCGCGAACTAAAAGCCTTGTCCGTCGCGGGGGGCACGCGGGGGGAAGCGCGGCGCGGCATCTAGTTTTTCGAAAGGACTCTGCCGGGGAGCGGAGGTGCCGTCGCCCAGGAGGGCCCGCGGCCAAGGCGGGGGGATCTCTGGGAAATTCAGAGCAAGTGGCGGGAGGGATTGACGGAGGATGGGCAACGACTTGGAAAAGTGCGGAGGGCCAGTTCGTAAACGGCCCGCGCATCCAATGGCATCTTCGGGTTTGGCATCGCGACTTGGCTCTCCAGGCAGACGCCCTTCGTGGGGCGCCAGCGGAGGGGGGGCGGCACATCCGGAGTAGCCAGAAGAAGGTGCGACGACGAACACACCGACTGCGCCGATTGAACAAGGACCCCACAAGCGTCGGCGGAACCTGCAATAGCGCACGGACCGAGGCCCTGAAAATCGGGAATGGTAGTATAGTTCGTTTTGATACGAGCGCTTCGCCATTGGTCACCCCTCCGACTTCTCGTCATTTTTGCGCGACTGCCTTTGGGTCCCGCCTGAGAAAGCGACCAAATTCTGGCAGCGCGCTGTAAAGAACAAACCTTTGGCCGGAGCCCTGAACGGATCATCTTTCTGCGGGTTCGCATCGACACGCTATCCCCGACTGCTGATTTGTTGCTGCATGTTTTTTTTTTTTTTTTTTTTTTTTTTTTTTTTCTAAAAACGGGCGGAGGATTATTCAGGTTATGGACTCTCTACTGGCGTGGAGGTGTCTGGATATGAATAGCGAAGCGGATTGGCTGTGCAACCTCACAAGAGACAGCAGGGAGTCCTTGGGGTTTTCCTCAGCCATCCTTCGCCCTCCTTCGCCGGTGCCACCCATCACTGTCTTACGCGCTCAGATGGCGGTTGGCGGAAGCATGGCCAGGAAGGGGTCGGCTTCGTGATTCGAGTTTGCACGGCCGCGAAGTCGTCGTGGCAACCGTTGGTTTTCGGCCGCTTATGGCGGCCGCTTCTCGCCGACAGCTGGGAAGCATAGGTGGAGGCATTGCGCGCCATTCCCTTTTTTACATTGCTCTGCCTTACACGAGCCACCACTCAGGTCTAGTATAGCACAGTTGCGTAGCATGGGTCACTGTTGTATAAAGTATGGCAATGTGCGCGCGAAGCAGCTGCGCTTGGTTCCAGGCTAGGCAAGCACAGTGAAGGTAAGGCAGCTTTTGTGACATAGCCTGGCCGACATAAAATGAAATGTGTGTGTGTCTTCAAATGTGCAAATATGGTTTGAAGCTCCAGCTAAACATGTGCCGTGCACATGTCAGACGGTGTGGTAAAAGAAGCACAGAATTCAGTCTTGGCGTAGGCACAATGGTGTTATGGAGCAGTTGCCACATTGACACATAGGCACGGGCCTGGTGTCATGAAAGGCGGAAATGTCAATACCCATGGCGCAAAAGGAGTGCCCTCCATTAGTCCCAAAACAAAGTTGTATGCATATATACACAGAGAGGGAAACAAGAGAGAGATAGGACAAAAAGAGGAGAGGACAAGGACCCTACGAGGATGGGGTGTTAGAGTGTGTGTGTGTGTGTTTGAGTCTGTATGTATGTGCAGATACGCATAGACATGTACGTGCACGAATACGCAATCACATGCGTATACACGTATAAAGACAAATACATACGCACGTGCAAAGGCATGTACATATGAATTTGCATATACGGATACGTAGACATAAACGTATGCATACGCTCATGCACAACATATACACATGCATACGTATACCTGTAGAAATACGAATACAAATGCACATGCATGTGCATATGCGTATACACCAGCTTAAACATATGCATACACATTTACATATGCATATACATATATATATGCATGCGTATATACACATACGCATACACACATATACAAATACACATGCACACACATATAAACACACATACATTTATATAACTATGTATATGTGTATGGCTATGTATACTAATGCATGCACACATGTACACATACATACCTATATACATGCACATGCATATGCATCTGTACAACTCGACATACGCAAGTAGAGTATTTACCTCATGATCCAAAGTGTTATCCTCCGCTCTCCTCTTGCTACTCCTCCTCCACTCTTCCTCCTCCCTCTCTTCGTCGTCTTTCAGATCATCCCTCCTCCGCATCATTCCTCTCCTGACCCTTCCCCCCCGACTCCTGTTTTCGTTGTTGCTCCCCCCTCCTCTTTCTCCTCCTACTTCTACCTTGCTTCTCATCCTCCTCGTCCTGTTGCTTCCCCTTCTTTCCTTCAATGCCTTATCTTCCTCCTTTTTCCTCTGCCTCCTCCTTCCTCCCCACCTCCCACCCCGGTGCCCGCCCTTGTCATGTGCTTCCCTGTTCCCCTCTCCTCCTACCAGTGTGCTTTTCGGCGCGGCGCCCCCAAGGAGGTCGGCTTCAACGGCTGGGTCGCGGAGGAGCCGGACATCATAGAGGCCCAGCGCCCGGCGGGAGTGGGAGGGTGGGGGCCGGAGGAGAGCCTGCCTCCTGCCGCTCTTCCTTTGGGGCGGCTTGCTCTCCGCCCCGAGCGCGGCCCGCGGGCAGCGAGAAGGCGGCGGCCCGCGCGGTCGAGGTGCCCGCGTTTCTGTCCCCGCTGCCCCTCGTCGAGGCGCGGTGGGGGGCGCGGGGTGGGCAGTGGGCGAAGGGTTGGCTTCGTGGACTGTCCCTGTTCCTTCTCGGTTGGTCGGGAAAGGCCCTGGTAGAGAGCAAGGACAGGCAGAGAGGCGGGAGAGAGTGAGCAGCGTCAGCGGCAGGGCCCGCACTGGCCAACTAGCCATCAAGGTGTCAAGGGTACTGGGCAGGACCTCGCAGGGACCCAGGCCACACAGACCACCCCCAGGGGCCTGGGTCCATCACAGCCGTCGCACTGAACCCCACACTCGTACTCCTCCTGTTCCTCCTCCTTGCCTCTTCTTCCCCCCAAGCACGAAAACCGCAGCGAGACAATGCGCTTTGTGCCCGAGCACAACAACAATATGAGGAGGGAAAGGAGCAGGAGGACAGGATTGGCAGCGGGAGCAACACGCACCCCGCGTCCTATCCCATGACTGCTGGAGCTGATAACGCGCCGCGCACGATTCCTCGTTCCTCCTCCCGCCTCCCGCCTCCTCCACCTCTCTCCTCCGTCCTCCTCGCTCGCCCTCCTCCTGCTCCGCAAACCTCATCTTCCGCACTCTCCTCCTCCTCCACCTCCTCCTCCTCCTCCCCCCCTCCTCCTCCTCCTCCTCCCTCCTCTCCTCCTCCTCCTCCTCCCTCCCCTCCTCCTCCTCCTCCTCTCCTCCTCCTCCTCCTCCTCCTCTCCTCCTCCTCCTCCTCCTCCTCCTCATCATCATCATCATCATCTTCATCTCCTCCTCCTCCTCCTCCTCCTCCTCCTCCTCCTCCTCCTCCTCCTCCTCCTCCTCCTCCGTCCGCCTCCTCCCGTCCTCCTCCTCCCCCTCCCTCGTGTTTCTTCGTCTTCCAGCGTCGCACATGAAAAACATCGGCCAGGTTAGGCCCGTTTTCGGCTCGGGCCCAGGGAGCACTGCAGAGCGGCCCGGGACTGGAAGGCCCGGTCCCCTGGGAAAGGGTCGAGCGGCCAAGGGGGGTCCGCTTGACGAAAATCCGAATGTGGCTCCCGGCTTAGCGCCACGCGCATTCGTTTCAAACGTTTGCAACAGCTTCAAGGATCGAGGGGGAGGAGGGAGGGTTTATGCAACATCGTTGATGCGCATTGGGCTTATGCGGGTCCTCCTCCTCCTCCTCCTTCTCCTCCTCCTCATCCTCCTCCTCCTCCTCCTCCTCCTCCTCCTCCTCTTCCTCCCCCTCCTCCCCCTCCTCCCCTTCCTCCTTCCCCTCCTGCTCCTCCTCTCCCTCCTCCATGCGCAGAGCGCGGCTCTCGCCACAGCGCGGCGCACAGTCGTCGCAAATGCTCGCGGAGCAGCGTCACGGATGGAGGCGGGGTCGGTTTCCCCATGTGGTTCTTGCCTTGGGGGCCGCGCGTTGTCTTTTCAAGCGTTGGCAAAAGTGTTCATGGATGGACGGTTGCTGCTCTTTTTCAAAAAGTGGTTCTCGCTCTCGGCGCCGCGCACATTCGCTTCAAAAGTTTGCTGCTTAACGGATGTGGGGAATGCTGTGATCAACACGTGGTTCTCGCCATAGCGCCGCACACATGCGTCTCAAGAGTCCGAAACAGCCTCAAGGATCGAGTGCGGCTCCTTTTCACGATGTGGCTCTCGCTTGAGCGCCGCGCCTCTAGCATCCGATCCTCCACTTCCACCGCTACCAACGCCAGACACCGAGAACGCAAAACGACCTCAAGGACACCACGTGGCTACAACCGGCTACAGCAAAGGAGTGGGACACATCTGGAAAACAAGTGTGGTGAAGTACGCGTCTCCCTTGAGCAGGCGCCCGGCTCGCGCAGGTTCTCATGCGAGGCCATGGCCTCACCCGCTTCGCCGTTCGGGGGCCCGGGCGTATGCCCGCAGAGGCAGTCCGTTCCGTGCCGTCCCGTCTTAAACAGGTGCAACAGTTTCACGGATGGAGGGAGGCGTCTTCAACATGTGGCTCTCGCCTTGGAGCCGCGTAGATCCGTAGTAAACGTTTGCAGCAAGTTCAAGGATGGGGGGGTCTGAAGAGGTGGTCTCGCCTTGACGCGGCGAGCACTCGTTGCAAAACACTGCGCTAGCTTTACGGACCGATGGATGGCGCTGATTTTTCAGAGTGGGGTTCTTGCGCGAGTGCCGCAAGCATTCGTCTCACAATGTTGGAATAGTTTCGAGGTTTGGGCGCCGGCCGTCGTCAAAATCGGGCCCTCGCCTCGGCGCCGCGCGCATGCGTCTTCTAATCCAACGTTCAGCAGGACGGAGGACTACTCTTTCTCAACATGCTACGCTCCGAGAAGAGGCAAGGCAATCCCTGGTCAAAACGGGCTCTCGCCAAACTGGCAGGCCAAATTGTGCTGATCTCTCAAGGGGGCGCGTCGTGCAGTGAGAGGGGTGACTCGTATGGGGAGTATGCGCAGGGGAACGGAATGGGAGGGTGTGTTGCAGCATTGTTTATGCGGCTTTGGTTGATGATGGTTCTCCTCCTCCTCTTTCCTCGCGACTGGTGGGCATGTCCGTGCGCGGCCAGCCCGCCCCCGCGCTCCTGGCACTGACCCCCCTCCTCCTCTCTCTCTCTCTCTCTTTCTCTTTCCCTCTCTCTCTCTCTCTCTCCCTCTCTCTCTCTCACTCTCTCTCGCAGACGCCGACAGGTATCGCGGCTGAGGTTCGTGGACGCCGTGGAGGACTTCCGAGGGGGGGGTCCCAGACATCCAACGTCTTGGAAAACAAGACGGATCTTCTTCACAGCGGTTCTGGACAACGACGGCGTGGGGGCGGGGGTCGGGTCTTTTGCGGGCCCCGCATCGACAAAAATTTGGGCACGGGATCTCTGGTGTCGGAGCCGCGGCCTTCCTTTCGGAAGCACGACCCTGAGAGGGGCCAGTTCAGATGTCGACGGTCATCGCTGCCCCGTCGCCTGCTCGTTTTCTCTATGGCCTCATCGTCTCCTCATCGTCATCCATCGACCCATCGTCACCTCATCGTCCCCATCGCCCTCCAGCTCCTAACCCCCCTCTTGTCCTCATTCTCTTTTTCCTGATCCTCCTCTCCCCTTCCTCCTCTTCCATATCCTCCACCATCCACCCCCTCCATCCCCCCAGGACCATGTCGTGTTCGGGGCTCCGGTTCCGAGTGCAGGGTGGTTGTGCTTCACCACGGGTGTGTGCCCCGTCTGGCCAGTTTGGATAGCACAGCGGTCCAAGGCGGACTTCCTCCATGCCCCCCGCCTCCTCCCTTGAGATCCGACGCTGCGGGAGATTTGCAACAGTTGAAACCCGTTGCGATGTTCGAGCCCGATGGATCCGCGAAGGCCCCCGGGCCCGACACGGGGCGACATCGCCAGGTGTTTATATATATATACATATCTATATATATATATATATATACACATATCTATATATATATATGTATATACACATATAAACAAAAAAAACGCATGGGTCTCAGGGGCTCTCTTCGCGCAGGATGGGCGAGCTCCCGACGCCGGCGGAAAGCGTTCCGTGCGTGCGCAAGGCGGCGGGCGACCCCAGATGCAGTCCGTACCCCGACCACCGACGTCACGATTTGTTCACAGCGTGCACCCCCGGAGGTCTCGACCCAATCCCCGCAAACCAGCTTTTCATCCCGATTCGAGTGTTTTAGAACTCCAGGGGCCCAGCGAGGTCCCCCAGAGGCCGAAAATTGGAGAATCCCTTCGCTATGATTCCTCCACCACGCGAAATCACCGAAGCAGGTAGCGGGATTCTTTCTGTTTCCGCGAGAGACAGGCTCGCGTGGCCAAGGTCCAGGACTTCAACAAGAAAGTCCAACAGTTGTCTTCCCAGCCTAGCAGGAAGTTGCGCCAGCAACAAGCGAAGATCAACAAGTTGCCGAATGGGATGCAGGCGGCCCTCGAGGAGGCCAGGACAACTGCGGCGGGGATGGGCCCCCTGACGATGCGCCCGCCCAGCCTCTCTTCAGACAACGATGCAGATGGCGCAGAGTTTGGCCGATGCTATGCGAGCTGTCTCGCACGGCGCGCTGGGCCCGCTCGAGGCGCCGCTGCGTGCTTTGCTGCATGTAGGCACCTGTGCCGCTGGGTGCCCTCGTGGCGCCCCAGGAAAACAGGCGGGTTGGCAGCCCGGTCGTCACCACAGTTCGACGGGGCTGTGGGAGAGACTCTGGCCCTGTGGCTGGCCAACTACAGTAGGTGCGGGCCCGCCGTACCACCCCTGAACAGCCCGATGGGGTTATTCGAAGAGGCCCCCCGACGTGGGGGGCGCGGGGTTGGTGCAGGCCGCCCCTGCCCATGCGGAGGTAGGCCCAACAGCCCCCGCCGCAACCGCGGCAGCGGCTGCATCATCGTCGAAAAGAGGAGGCTAGGCAGCTGCCGTGGGGGGTGGCACTGTCGTCGTGGCCCGTGGCGGTGATGATGGCGAGGAAATGTCCAACGTGAAGGTGGCGACAAATAGGCAGAGGGAGGTCGTCCGCGCAAACTTGGGACTCAGCGAGGTGCCGAGGAAGCTGCGTGGCTGAGATCCTGGGGCAATGCGGAGATGGCCAAACTACCTTCGCAACCTTCTAGGGACTCCGGGAAAGGATGCAGAAGAAACCGTCAGTGCGTTTAGCGCCCTGGCCTTGTCGGCAATGTTTGCACACGCGAATGCAAACGCCATTTTGTTACAGTTGTTTTCGACGGGTGAGTCCAGGAAGACACTCGCGGTTCTTTCTAAGAGACACATGCCGGGTCTCGCCGTTCGGAGTCTGAGGCAGATTTGGCCGTTTTGATTGGCATGCGTGCGCATCTACGGCCCCGTGCGTTTATGGCTCGGCGCATTTATGTGACGGACTTGCAGTGGGGTTGGTTCCGGGCAAAGTGTCGCTCGTGCGCCATGAATGATCATTGCGAATGTGCACTGTTGGGCCGGCGCCGACATGGGCGAGCTTTAACGCGGGCATCATGTCTAGTCTGGCGCCCAAGCTTCAGGCTCTGTAGCCCCCATGTTTGATCGGTGGCGACTTCGACTGTTCGCCCGAGGCCCTGCGCGAGGCAGGCGCGACGCGTCGGCGCGGCGCTGAGCTGTGGCGCCTGAATGTTGCGGCCATCCCTACTGGCAGAACGCTGGATTACGTCTTGGCGTCTCGCTCTTCTCTTCACGCCCGCGCCAGTTCGCGGGTTTCTGAGCGGCTACGCCCGGCGCTTCACATTGCGAGACCAACGGCGCGCATTGCGTCAGTGTTGCGCAATTTTCCAGCGGGCCGCCCGACGAAGGCACGGGGCCTTCTTCGCGCTTCCGGCCGAACGCGACCACGCGGGCGCGCGCGGCGTCGGGGGGCGCGCTCGCAAGCGCGCGGGCAGGGGCCAACCGCCAGCCCCCGCGCGGCCCCCTTTTCGCCCCCGAGCTGCCCAGATCTCCGAAGGTCTTCCCCGAAGCGCCTCGATTTCGGAGTCTGTCAGCGAGCTCGCGCATTTCGGCATGCTCGAAGCAGCCGCGAACAAAAGCGGCCGCCTGGAAGGCCTTCGGGCCCTCTGCTGACTTCGGCGCCCGCCGGCGCTCAAGCTGGCGCGGCGCCTGCCGGCGGTTGGCAGCTGCATCCTGGGCTTTAGTTTTCGGGGCGGGTTCTCTGCAGTTCCTGGATGGCTCGACAAAGGGCGAGGCCCGCAGCGTGGCCGAGCGGGACGCGAGTGAACGTCCGCGGGCGCTTCGAAATCGGGCTAGGCAGCAGGCTGCTGGAGCGGCTGGACGCGCCTCGCAACGTCGCGAAATATCCTACCAGTCGGGGTGGAGGCCCCTCATGCACCCCGAAATCGACCGAAGGAGGTGGGCAAGATACTGGAGGAACGGCGCGGGCGGTGGCAAGCGGCTCGGGGGCCCGGATTGGCCCCTGGATCTGGGGGCCCGCCCGGAAAGGCCCACAGTGGGCCACCTTCGCAAGGTGATCAGAACGTTCGCTACCAACGCTGGCGCGTCTATCTGCGCGCCCGGGCCGCGCTCGCCGAGCCATTGCCGCAATTTCGTTTTGGGCGTCGCTTCTAGTGCCGGGCGTTTCGGCGGCGGCCGAGGCGGAGGTCGAACGGCCCTTCGGGCCGCGAGGATTGCCCGCCAATCCAAGTGGCTCGGAGGCGCGCGCCACACATCGCCTACATTCAAGTGCTCGCTCGCGGCCAGGCTCGGTCGCAAGGCCCGATTGCGGCGGGCTGGAATTCGGAGTGCTAGATCGCCCTTTGCGCGCCCAACGGTAGACCGCACGATCTGGCCGTCTGGCAGCCGGCGGCGTGTCCGGAGTAGGCGAGCCCCCAGGCTATCGGCGCGCGCCACTACGGGCGCGTGAACATCGGCAACGGTCATTACTTCATGAAGGCAATAGAGCATGTCGGACACCATTGGTTGCTGGAGGCCGCGGTGGCCACTGGGTTCCCGCTGCCGCAGGAGATGCAGATGCTTGCATGTCGCGTTCAGCATTGGCGCAGTTGTCGTCTCGGGCAGGTCGTTTCCGCGCCCGTCGAGGTCAAGCACGTCATTCTCCCGGGGGGCGGATGGGCGACTTGTCCTTGAAGTTTGCGCCGCGCCCCCATTTGCGCCGCGCGCAGGCAGCGCAGGACAGCGACGCTAACAGTGGCAGTGCATGGCGAACTCCAACATCGCATTGGCGGGCAGGCGCGATCAACCAGACAGATTGGGAACGCGACCAAGACGCAGCATGAGGAGCCGCGCAAGGATGAGATTGACACGCGCGCGCGATGCAACGCGGAGGCGAGGGCCAACGCGGCGCGCGAGCTCCAACGCGCAGAAGCGCAAGCGGCCCGGCACGAGCGCCATTTAGGTTTCGACTTTGCTCGCGGGCGAAGAATCGACCGGCGCGCGCGAGGCGAACGGATGGGGGGAGCGAAGCTATTATTTTCGAGGTCAGGAATCTCCAGGCGTGGATCTTGCAAGCGCGTCGCGGCCAAGACAGTGGCGCGAGTTGGTCTAGAGGCTAACGTGGGTCATGACATGAGCGCGACAGGATGCCCCCCTCTGAAGTTGACCAACGCAGAGAAATTGCGCGGCCCTAGCAGGGAATTCCCAGGCTTTCTCCTTCTGCCGTTGCGCAAGGATTCGGCTCCCAATATAAGCGCCACGCCGATGCCCATGTCGACTCTTTGTCGGCATTTCCGAGATTCACTTTGCAAGACGCGACCTCATGGGTCGCCATGGAGCATTTGCCTCGCGCGGCACGTGGCAACGGCAGCAGGTAGCAGGCGATATATCTGAGCTGAGACACGTGGAACACGGCGCCGCCTGCCAGCCTCGCGCGCAACTCGCTGCCACCGGTCGCCCCGGGCCTGCCAGGAGGAACCTGGACGCGCCCTCGTTCGGCCGGGAGGCGAGAGGCTGTCCCGGGTCGGTCATCGCAAACGGGCAGCGGCCCACGCAGAGCGCGCTTGGATCCAGCCAGGCTCTTGCAGCCTGGAAGAGCCAGGCTAGATGCAGACGTCGCCTGCTAGATGCCGGCGCGAGCCAAGGCCTTGGCAGATCGTCTGCCTTCGCCAGCGGTGGCCCGCAGGATTCGACGTTGGGCGCGGGGCGCGGGCGGGGGGCCGCTGACGCTTAGACCCCGCGTGTTGCGGCCCCATCGCTCGCAGGCACGCGCGAAATCTGCGGCGGGCCGGGCGCGCTGCTGCATCGACACTGTGAAAGCCCTTTGTCAGTGGAGTTGCCCGCGCCCGGCGTTGCTCGGCCAGGCCCGAGGTCTGCCCAGGTTCGGCGCTTCCAGGAGCGAGCCGCGCGGCATCGACCTGGGGCGTAGCGGGGGCCTCCCGCCAGGGGCCAGGTAGTTCGGCGGCGGCGCCCAGGGCCGGGAACCCTCGCTGCGCGCGGTGCCTCTTTGGAAGGCACCGCTTTTGAAAGCGTTGCGAGGCGAAGAGTTCGCGGCCGCTGCCCGCCGTGGAACCGACGGGGCCCCTGGAAAGGGCTAGACGCAGTCCATTGCGCGCGTCTGGCGACAGTGTTCGACACTGATGGCGCGCGCCCGTTGCGCGCCGCGGCCACGTCGATCGCCGCGGACACGCCCATGATTTTGCGCTCCCGGGGCCGCCGAGGGAGACCCCGGCGGGGCCGCGCTTCACACGCCTGCGCGGGCTCGTTTGCGGGGCGACCTCTGGCGCCCTTCCAGGGCCGCGGGGGCCCTGGCGGGGCGGGGCCGAGCGCGCGCGAGGGCAAGGCGCACTGCTCGTTCGCGCAAGCGCAGCAAGGCGCCATCAGCAGGAAAGCTTTCAGCAGCTTCCACACCGAATGTGGGCCAAGCTCGCTGATCGCATCTTTCGGATGCCCCCCCAGGAGTGCGATTTGCATGCCAGGTCCGAGCATTTTGCTGAGCCCGTGGGGCGCAGACCCGCCGTCGGTGGTGCGCATGTGAACGCGTGACACATGGCGCTCGTGAGCAAGTGCGCGCGTCGCTCGCTGTGCGCCTCAGTTGCAGGTGGTCCATCCTCTGCCCAGGCACACTTTTGTAGGGCCTGTAAAGCGAAAGCGGTTCACCTGCTGCCGCCTCGCGGCCCCCGTCGCGCCAGCGCGTGGGGGTTCGATCGAAAGTCGCGCGGCGGACGACAGCCGCCAGACGTAGGGGCGAGGCGGATCTCATCGCAGGCTCGCCAGTTCTGATGTCGAGAAGGCGCTTCGCGGTGCCTCACAACCTGGGGTCGCCCGCGTGAAATGCGGGCCCCAGCGCGATTGGCAGTTGAAGGGTTGTCTCCTCCGGTGCATGGCACGAGGGACCCGCTGCAAGAAGGCCGTCAAGGAGGATGACCCAAGGGGTCTTCCCTGGCGTTTCCAAGACGGAAGTTCCCGCCAACCCGATGTTTCTACAATTTGTTGTCGACGTGGATTGCGAGGCCTCTGCACGCGGGCTCCAAGGTTTCGGCAAGAAGAAGAAGAGGAGGACCTGAGTAAACCCAACGCGCAGCAACGACGCCGCAACGGACCCTCCCGCCCCAGGTCGCTCCCCCACCACCACCACGCACACAAGCCCTCACGAGCATTCTTATCCACCGCACGAAGCGCCCGCCTTGAAAGACTGGGGGGCCCTGCAACCCGCAATCCCGCGGGGAGTTCCACTTGCGCAAAGAGTTCTTCGCCCCCCGTGGAGCCAGAGGGAACACGACACAGGTGGGCACAACAGAAACCATGGTAGAAAGCAGCCCCCGTTTCAATCCGCTGGCACAGGCTTACACATTGTTCATATCGAATGATTCGAGAGTTCTTGGATTTGGGGGGGGCCAACAAGATCCTGTCATTTCTAAGTATTCTATCTTGGGCCTCTTCCTGGCCACGAGGGGGCCAGGAACTATTAGAAACGAGCACAATTAGAAATGAGCACGACTGGAGCTGAACGTTGTGTGGGTCCTGAGCCTGCGAGCCCAAAGAGGTCTCCGGCGGCAGCCCCATGTCGGGCAGGCGGCCGCGCGAGGCCACCGGCGGGAGCCCCGCACGCGCAAGGCAGCCCACGGGGCGGCCACGAGGTGGCCACGGGCGGCCACTTGGCGGACGCCCAGAAGAAGCGAGCCAGCGCGCGGGCGGGCACGAGGCGGCCACGGGCGGCGAAGCGACAGAAACAAAAGAGAGCCTCGTTTGGGGAGCACGGTCTATCTCACACTCTCTTGTTCTTTCTATGCATATGTCTCTCTCCCTCTCCCTCGCTCTCTCTCTCTCTCTCTCTCTCTCTCTTTCTTGTTATACCTTCCTTTACTCTCTCTTGCTCTCCCTCTCTCTCTCTCTTTCTCTCTCTCTCTCTCTCTCTCTCTTTCTCTCCCTCTCTCTCTCTCTGTATCGTTGTTTCTCTCTCTCTCTCTCTCTTTCTCTCTCTTTCTCTGTCTCCCTCTTTCTCTCTCTTTCTCTCTCTCTTTCTCTCTCTCTCTCTCTCTCTCTCTCTCTCTTTCTCTTTCTTTTTCTCTATTTGTTCCCCCACCCTTTTACTGCCCCCTCTTGTGTGCCAAGCCCGCCTGTCGCCCAGAGGACGAGGTACGTCGGCTGCGGCAAATCGCAGATGATGCGCAGATGTCGCGATCAAAAGGCCGTTTGCGGTCTGCTCCACCTTTTTTGCATCATGAATTGCCTTGTCCGGCGATGACCCTTTTCCGTCTTTAGTTGTTGTTCCATTCATTTGCCGTATACATCCTCTACGTGTCTTGTTTCATTCGGTTTGCAGCATGTGTGGCATACGACGCAGAACAACCATGCCTAAACACATTGCCGATGATGTGGAGGTATTGATGAGCAATACATAAGTATATCCGTACGTACATACAGACAGACGTACAGACAGCCAGACAGATTGACAGACAGACACATATAACAACATACAGCATACACACATACAGACAGACAGACAGACAGACAGATAGACAGACAGACAGGCAGACAGACAGGCAGACAGACAATCAGACAGACAGACAGACATGCATACGTACAGACTTGCATGCATGCATGCATACATGCATATATATATATATATATATATAGAGAGAGAGAGATCTGCATCCGCATGTATACAGGTTCGTAAACATGCGTACACATCTACATGTGTCAATCTGTCTCGTATAAAAAAGGTTCGATCTATCCACGTATACATACTTAAGGCCCTTCGGTCCATCCCTCCACGGCGCCGAGGTTGAGGGCCAGATGCCTCGTAGATACGTGTGGGCATATCTTGAGGGCCATTTCGGATGCCCCTTAGAGTTGGTTCTGGGGGTGTCTTGGAGTCTCCGGGGCCTCTTGGGGGCCTCCTGGGGCCTGAGTTGGGCTTCTTGGGAGTCTCCTGGAGCTGTTAGGAGGCCCCCTGGGGGGCCTGCTGGCGGTCTCGGGGATGATCTTCGGGCGGAGAGCGCGAAATGTCAGTTCGAGTTCCCGCTCTGGGGGCCTTCTTGGGTTGTGCCGTTTCGGGGGTGTTTGAACCGTCTTGGGGCCCTCTTGAGCTGTGTGGGGGCACTCTTCGGGGCCTCTTGGGCCATTTGGGGACCAACTGGGGGTCCTCCTAGGCCGTCTTGGAGCGTCGAGGGCTAGCAACGGCGAAAACTCCAAAGCCCTCCAAGCACCATTGGAGTATCCATGATGTTTGCCTTTCTGGGCCCTCTCGGGGAGCCTCGTGGATCCTTATTGCGGCTTCTTGGGGGTCTCGTGGGCCGTCTCGAGGCCATCCTAAGCGTTTCGAAGCGGTCTTGGGCCGTTTCGGGGCTCTCTTGGATTCTCTTGCAGGTTTCTCAGACAATTTGGGGGTTTGGTGGGGTTGTTTTGGGCGGGGCCACCATCCCGGAGGCCCACACGAGAAACCGCAAGAGCGCCCATGACTTTGGAAATTCCGCAGTCTGAGCCCCCCCATCCACCTCTGAGAACTACATGAGCCTTCGGGTATTCAACTACGCGCTGAAGGGCCGGTGGCCGATATAGGACAGAGCGCGTTCTGTAGACGCTGGGAAGGCGGGGGGAGTTCGACTGGGGGGGTGGGGGGCCCTGAATTGCAAGGGAGAGGGGCGGTCGACCAGGGGGGCAGGGGCGGGGGGGGGCGTTCGAACCGCCCCCCCCTGAATTGCAGCGGGGTGGTGGTTCGAACGGGGAGGGGGGAGCCCTCCTCCCCAGTGATAACCGACGACGGCCGGCGAGCACTGGCGCCGACGCTGGCGCCGTCGGGCAACGACGACGAAGACGACGACGACGACGACGACGACGACGACGATCGATCCCTAGTAGGATGCTATCATCGCTGGATCCAGCCCTGGTAAGTTTTTATTTAGAGCTGGACCGGCCTCTAGTAGGACTATGTTAGGGCTGGTTCCAGCTATAGTAGGATTCTATGTGAGATGGATCGAGCATTAGTAGGATTAGATCAGGGTCGGAGCCAGGTATAATAGGATTCCATTAGAGCTGGTTCGAGCCCGATCAGGATGCCATTAAAGTTAGATCCCGCTACGGCCGGATTTCGTTTGAGATGTAGCAAGTCCCAGTAGTAGGATTCGAATAGTTCTGGAGCGCGTCATGGTCGGATTCCAGTAGAATTGGACCGCGTCCGATTGGGATGTTATTAACGCATGATCCAGCTATAACAGGATTAAATAGGAGCTTGATCGGGCACTAGTCGCTAGTAGGGTTGAATTCAAGTGAGGGGGAGGGCCTCCCCGGTTCGACCATCCCCCCTTCTTGGAAGGGGGGCCCAGTTCGAATCCCCTTTCCCTCATGTAAGGGGTGGGAGCGGTTAGAGAGGCCGGTGCCCCCCCCCCCCCCGGGGTTTGCCGGCGCTTCAAATATCTTAGGGCGGCGGCTCCGACATGTCCAGGGGGTTCTGCCAGGCAAGCGCCCATACAGTTCGATCGACGTATCTGGTAGTGGACTGGTCTATGGATGTAGCTTAGCATTTGCGTATGCACACATGCATTAAGTGTTCTCTCTCGTTCTCTCGCCCTCTCACTCTCTACATTCCTCCCTATCTACCATTCTTCCTTTTCTCTGTTATCTCTCTCCCCTCTTCATTCTCTCCCTTCTCTATATCTATATTAATGTGTAGATTCCTGTCTGTCTCTGTCACTCTCTCTCTCTCTCATCGTTCTCTTTTTGTTTGTTGCTCTTCTCTCTCTCTTATTCTCCTTTCTCTCATATCTAGATGTATCTCATACATTTGCATGCGTACTCCATGTAGTTCGAATTCCACGCATGAGTTAGGGCAACTACTGGACATCCGCCGAACGCCCCCAACGGGACTATGACAGGGACAATCCCGGCCACCTTTGGACAAACCGCGGGACAATGTCGAACAGCGCGGGACGGCCACTGAGAACCACGGAACAAACAAGGCCCAGTGGCAGGCGCCCAGTCACACAAGAGCCTTTGCTCAGACAAGGCTAGGCTAGCCGTCAGTTTCGCCTCGATCGCACGCGCGTCACGGACGGCAATGAGCACACCAAGCCGAACTAGATTTTCATCGCTTGGCCCCTCCATGCGCTCGTACCCCGAACCCCTGACTTGCGATGTTCTGTCCCTTCCATCTCGGAGAAGAACAGATGCTCCAATACGTTTCGGTGCTCCGAGCGGAGCTCTTGGATCGCGACGAGAAAAAAAGCCATCGGCGGCGCCTCCAGCGCCGCTCATGGCGCGATCCGCGCCACCAGGAGGAGGGACCAACGACGATCCAAGAGATCCCGCGGACCTCCGAAAGTTCATGTTATGCACGGCGCTGCTTTTGTGCTCAAAGTGAGAAGGCGTAGCTTCGTTTGGTATTGAAAGGACGTGAAGCTGTGCCAGCACCCCGCACGGGCATCTGGACCCGTATGTGCGGCCGTTTTTTTGTTCTCATGTGCGAAGGCATTGTTACGCTCACAGGTACATCTACATTGACGTGCGCATCTGCGTACAGAGGGGAGGGGGAAACCCGCATTCCGCCAGGGACGTACAGAGGGGAGGGGGATGGAAAGAGATGAAAAGCGAGCCAAGGAGAGGGGAGGACAGGAGAAGAGACCACAGCATCAAATTATAGATGGTACCAGAAGGTTCTAACCTCGCCCTCCCCCTCCCCCCACCCCCGACGTCCCCCCTCGCAGCGCCATCCCACCACGAGGGCCCTCCCCCCAGGGTACGTCTGGAAGGTGATCGCGGCCACGCGCATCTCCAGGTGGCCACCGGCATTCCGCGCCGCGGCTGCCGCCCCCGCCGTTACCTTTGTTTGGCGGCCGCTGCTAGGGGCAACGGGATGGTGGCTTTCACGGCAGCCGCTGCCGCCGTGGCCGCCGCATTGGTTGCCGCTCTGACCATGGCCGCTGCCGTTGTCGCCATCGGCAGTCGTGACTAGGGCAGGTCAGGTGAGGAGCATTGCTTTGGGATTGTATGCTCTGTTGATGTTGTTGGTAATTGCACGAAGCACATTCCATCTGACCTTGCGCTGATCTCAGGTAGTCAGTTCGATACGTGTTTAAAAGGGTCTGTCTTTCGTTCCCGAACAGATGAGATTTGTTACCGTGTCCGTTTCTGTCCGTGTTTGCGCATTCGCCCACGTTTATGCTTGCCTATGTGTTTTCATCTGGGGATGTATTTGCGCATCATGTGCAATGTGTATCGGTATCTGCCTATGCCCATGTTCCTGGCACTGTGTATCCCCGTGCCCGTGCCCGTTTGCACGCCCGCCCGTCTGCACATCTATCCGGCTCGTATGACCGATGGTCTGTCTGCCGGTGTCCGTGCAGGTGCCGGTGCCGCATGCAATTCTCAGCTGCAGCGTGTGCGCTTGACTCGTATGCTCGTCTTGGAGAACAGTTGTTTCGGATGCAAGTACTGGGAGGTCAAATTCTAATTTTGCCCTGATCCGAAATCCGGCTTAATCCGGCTTCATCCCGTTCAATCCGGCTTAATCCCGCTTATTCCATCTGAATCTGGCTTCATCCCGCTTCATCCGAAGCCGACTCTGGCGCAGCAGCCCCCAAAAGGGGCTGGATCCTCCTTAAGCCTTTCGACGAAGACCTCCCAGCAGTTGCCTCCTAAAGCTGTCGGCGCCTCTGTCTGAGCCCGCCCGTGCCTCCGTCTGCCCGTGCCTCTGGCCGCCCGCGCCCCTGTCCCCGTTGCAGCGTGTGCGCTCGACTCGTGCGCTCGTCTTGGGGAGCAGCGCTGTCGGCGTGCCCGTGCCCGCCTCCGCCCGAGCCCGCCCGTGCCTCCGTCTGCCCGAGCCTCTTGCCCGCCCGCGCCTCCGCCCCCCCTGCCCGTGCCCGCCCGTGCCTGCCAGGGCCTGCTTCCGCCTGCTGCCCCCCCCCCCCCGCAGGGCCCGCGGCCCTGCAGCGCCGACCGCCCAGGTGCAGCAGCAGGTGCAGCAGCAAGGCCAGCAGCGTGTCTCAGCGCAGCGGCTGACCCGGCTGCCGCCCCGGAACTGCCGCCCCGCGCCCGCCACGGAAAGAGGTGCACACATACGTCTTCCAGTGGATTGTGTTCCTGGGCCTCTAAGGGGATGGTGGCGGTGTGTAAACCACCTCTGCATGCAAAGTTCGTCGGAGGCGGAGGCGGAGGAGGGGGAGGAGGCGGAGGCGGAGGAGGAGGAGGAAGAGGAGGAGGGGGAGGAGGAGGAGGAGGCTGCGGAGGGGGAGGGGGAGGGGGAGGGGGACGGGGGAGGAGGAGGAGGAGGAGGAGGAGGAGGAGGAGGAGGCGGAGGAGGAGGGGACGAGGAGGACGAGGAGGCGAGGACGGGACGAGGACGAGGAGGGGCAGGAGGAGGAGGAGGAGGAGGAGGAGGAGGCCTGTGTACATCTTTTCCGTGGCGCGGCGCGACCCAGCGCGCGGCCGCCGCGCAGAGCGACGGCCTTTAGGCGGGGCGGTCACATGCGGCGCAGGCCGCGTCCGAGCGCGCGGGCCAGGCCACGCCGCGCAGGCACGGCGGCGGGCCGCGTCCGAGTAGCGGCTCCGAAGGGGCTCTTCGTAGGGCCGGCCGCCCACTGCGGGAGTTGGGAGGAGGAGCGGGGGGGCGAGGCTGGGCGAGGGTGGAGGCGGGGCGAGGGGCGAGGGAGGAGGCGGGGCGAGGGGCGAGGGAGAAGGCGGGGCGAGGGAGGAGGCGGGGCGAGGGAAGGACGGGCAGGGCCCGAGTGCGAGGGGGCACGGCGAGGGAGGGCGAGGGAGGAGGCAGGGTGGAGGCCAGCGGGGGGGCGCTCCAGAGCTCTGACGAGGAGGCGAGGAGGAGCGAGGAGAAGGAGAAAAAGAAGAGGAGGAAGGAGAAAGAGGATGAGGAGAAGGAGGAAGAGGAGGGAAACGGGGGAGGAGGAGGGAGGAGGAGGAGGAGAAGGAGGGAGGGAGAGGAGGAAGGAGAAGGAGCAGAGAGGAGGCAGGAAGAAGGAGGGAAGAGGATGGGAGGATGAGGGAGGAGGGGCAGGGAGGAAGGAGGAGGACCAGGAGGGAGGGAGAGGAGGAGGAAGGGTGAGGAGGAGGAGGAGGAAAGGAGGAGGAGGAGGAGGAGGAGGAGGAGGAGGAGGGAGGAGGAGTAGGGAGGACCAGGGTCAGCAGCGGGCGCCGGCGGCCTCCCGCGGTGACGCGGGCCTTGCCAGGGGCGCGAGCCCGGCGACCGCCCAGCGCCTCTCCAAGAGACGACGCCACGAGAAACGGCGCGCGTGGTCGTCCCAAACGAGGAGGGGAGAGGAGGACGAGGAGGAGGAGGAGGAAGAGGAAGGAGGAGGAGGAGGAGGATGAGGAGGAGGATGAGGAAGGAAGGATGAGGAGAGGAGAGGAGGAGAAGTGGGGAGAGGAGGAGGAGGAAGGAGGAGGAAGAGGAGGAGCAGGAGGAAGAGGAGGAGGAGGAGGAGGAGGAGGAGGAGGAGGAAAAGTACGAGGGAGGAGGAGGAGGGAGGAAGAGGAGGATCAATTTGAGACAAGGGTCAGAGGGAGGAGAAGGAGGAGAGAGAGAGATGTGAGAGGCGAGACGTGGGATGTGAGAGGTGAGAGGTGAGAGATGAGAGTTGACATTCGAGAGGCGAGAGGCTAGAGGTAAGAGGAGGAGGGGGAGGTGGAGGAGGATGAAAAGAGGGAGGAGGACGAGGAGGATGACAAGGTGGCGGGGAAGGACGAGGAGGCAGCAGAGGAGAAGAGAGACCGCTCCAGAAGAGGACGCAGAACGCCACAGGCTTTCGCAGGCCCGCGCGGGCTTCCCGGGTCGGCGCTAGCCCTCCCCCCCCCCCCGCCAGTCTCCCCCCTCACTCTGGCGCGCCCGAGGCGCGCCAGGGCCTGCTTCGCAGGCGCCGCCAGGAGGGCCCAGCGCCGACCCGAGAATCTGCGCGGACCTAAAAGAGTATGTCGCCTCCTCCTCCTCCTCGTCCTCCTCCTCCTCGTCCTCCTCCTCGTCCTCCTTCTCGTCTTCCTCCTCCTCCTCCAGCCCCCCTGGCCCAATGTTCTTCCGGTGGGGGGCGAGACACGAACATGCACAGTCTCCATGGCGGGGCTGCCTCCTCTCATGCGCGGTGTCGGTCGCGGTGATTTCCCTGCGCATTGTGGGCCTTAAACCGTTGGCAGCGGCAGGCCTCCGCTTGGACGAAATCGTAGGGGAGGCGGGCAACTGTGATTTCATATTGCTGGCAGGAGCGCAAAATGTATGCCGTGACTCGGCCCAGAAAGTTTTACGCAATCGTTCTTTGGGGGGGATGGTGTTGGAGACCACGGCCACTCAGGAGCCCTATTAATGTCGAAGTTGCGGCTGCTCGATTATCCTCCCAACGACGCGTTTTCCCAGGCCCAGTGGGTGCTGGAGGGAGAGGGGCGGCGGTGAGGTACAAGAAGGGGCCGACGATATGTGTGTCTCACTGTGGCCTACTACCCTCCCCAGCCCTCCAAAGCAGATCGTCCTGGCTACCTGCGTACATCAAAACTGATTTCAGATTGGATGGGTACGATTATGTCCAGCCTCCCTGTTCGCTGCACGCCCTTCGTGTTTTCGGACGTGAACGACGGCTTGGTGGAGGTGCGGGGGCCCGCGGGATGGAGTTCTATCTCGTCGGAGGCGGTTGGGAGCCCTACTCGGGAAAAACTTGTTCAGGGGGTTGGCCAATTGTTTCGGGAACAATTTGACATTCATCATCTGGTGGCGGGCAACACGTTTACCGAGACCCCTGCCCTTTCTCTTCAATAAGTAAATGTGAAGGTACGCGTATCGATTATGTTGCTTACCATGTTGCTCTCGCTCAGGTCCGCAAGCGCCACCCCTTACGGTCTTTGGGTGCCAAGCTGCAGGCCCACGTTGGCCCTCCTCCTAAGGACCACCTCCCGATCTACTTCGAAATGCCGTACTGGAAGGGGGGGGTGGAGAAGTTCTTCAGATCTTGGGATACGGGGGCGATGGTGAGTTCGCTGGGATGGGGCACGGGGGAAGCAGAGTTGCTGGAGCCGGTTAAGAGAGAACTGCAGCGTTTGCCTGTTCGTTTCTATGTGGACAGGGAGTCACCAGACGGGATCTTCGAGGGGCTTGGGGACGCAATTGCTAGGGCAGGACAGGACCACTGCAGCAAATCACGCACTCCTGCACCAAACTACGCAGACGATTGTCGTCGTCGTCGGGGCCTCCTGCGTGCACGGGCTAGCCTTCGACTTAACAAAGCAGGCACCACTTCGGAGACCTCGCGTCAGATCGACCAGGACCTTAAGCAGCTCACCAAGGATCTTATTGTGGCCCGTAGGAAGCATGTACGTGTTAGGCGTTCTCGGCTAGTGGAGGAAGCTAATGAAGCTTTGCGTGCTGGCCGTGAAGTCGAAGGTCTGTGCTCACTACGTGCTACAGCCATATGTAGATTTGGTCCTCAACAGCGTGACGGTCGACTGATTATCTCGGCTCTCCCTGCTTGTGGGGAATGGATGCAGAGATGGCAGGGGCCAGGGATGGGAAGGGGTCTGTCTGCTGAACTCTTGGATTGGGGGCAGTGGAGGAGCCAGCGGGAGGAGGTGGAGTACGCTGCAGTACAAGGCCCAGAAATAAGTAACCCCGTCGCTCATGACATCCAGACAATTCGCAGGTACGTGCCCAGTGCACCGAAGAGGAAAATGGCACCCACAGGCACGATGCCCTTGGCACTGTGACACATGTAAGTTTGTCCTAGTTGGCGCATGCGTACAAGAGCAGGGGTACTGCACAATCAAGAAGAGTTGATCGGTTCGTTTGTTTTTGGGCATGTTGCGAATGGGCTTGGGAATGTTTAGGGGCGATTGTGCTTTGCTACTTCGTTGGCATCTTTCATTGGGTGCCGCACTTCATCTCAACATGTCTTTTGGTCCTCGCTGACCACGCGCTGTGCATGTATTGCGTTAGTTGTTTCTCGTGTTGGGGGCCGAGCTACATTATATGACCACGGGCTTTTGATATAAAAAAGGACTCAGACGTGAGAACCCGATAATGCTAGCCCAGATCGTTAGCCACCGCTTAAGACAGACAAACACTGATCATTTCATGACACTTAAGGACATGACTAACGCCTTCGTGAGCACCTCCCGGGAACCCATGGACGTTAGCATGGAGCATCATACTCTGGCGGAAGACACATACTCATGCAAGCAGCGATACCAGCCTTCGGCAGTGGAAATCACAGGCAGCGACGGTGAGGTTGTTTAAAACGCACAAGAAGGCGGAGTTATGGGCGACCCTTTTGTTGCGAGGACTTTCTTGCAGACTTTTCCACGACCAATGCTGCGATGGGGCAGACAGCGATCGGACGTGGGCGACGCGGCAGGGGCGCCCAAGGGCACCCAGGGCACCCTCGTGACCGACGCTTTTATGTTCCCCAACAAAAATGCAGATGACCTAAACAATGTCACTGTTGCGAGTGAGGGCATGACGCTGGTAGACCTCATTGGGAAGATTTCTCGGGCGGGCGACGCGTCAAACGATTCCCTCTCCGACTTTGGCCTGGCGCAAAGCCTCACCGAACAGGAGTTGCTTGTCTTTCTTCTCCTGGGCAGGGACTCACAACTTCAAGAAGCTCCTCAAGGGCCCAAAAAGGTTTGGCATCGCAGGCGCCCCCAAGGAGAGCGCGAAGTATGTGGGCCCACATATAGCACTACGCGACAGCACACACCAGGAATTAGCCAGGAGATGCTCCGCGGCACGGAGAGCGCCCTTCTCTTTGGGCGGCACTTGGCCTCTGCAAATCGTCCGTCGTCATGAGGAGTCGCTGCTTCAGGGGCTAGTTCAGAACGCTTTATTATCTGCTCTGGGAGTCTTTCATTTTTCTGAGCGTGATTACCACATTCTGGACGGGTGTTTGGCAGGCTTAGCACGCATCATCACGCAGGGGAAGGCCGCGGACTGGGACGGGGAACGCGCGCGTAGTTCACGCGCGAGGCAGGCCCTGTATTACCGGGGGCTCGCGGGCACCAAGGTTGAACTCCAGGTTCGTCGTCTCCGTCTCTATCAGAGCTGGTCAGCGGACCCCCAGGGGGTCTCTCAGATTATCGTCTCGCTGTTCGGAAAACTGGAGGCTGACGAGGTTTACCCGCCTTGTCCTGGAGGCGCGTTGACGCAGTGGGCCTCGCCGTGGGCCCGACATGTGGTTGCTGATCTCCAGAATTCTGCCCTTCTTTTGGATGAGCAGTGCGTAGAGGACGTAACTAAGGACTGAACGATTTTGGCCGATGCCGAGCGGAGCGCAGAGTTTCGGATGATGGACATGACGCAACTCCGTGCCACGGCACTTACAGCAGCGATCCCACCTCCAAGCACGGGTTGGAACCCAGGAGCGACGCGCAATCCTCCGCCTGGCCTTGAAGAGGATTCTAGCATGTGCTGCTACGTTCCATGATGTGAAGAAAACATCATACTCGGCAGCAGGCGCTGAATAATCTTAGGTCTGCCCACTTCCAGAGGAACCTCGCGGCCGTACTGACCCCGACGAATGCGTGCATGTGTTGCCGTTCGGTGTTCCGTGATCGATGGACAGCGGCAGACACCTGCAGACGGCGATGTTCAGTGGCAGTTGTCCAATAGGAGGTGGCTGAACGCTTCGGCCAGGTCGCCAACCTCCTACATTTGAGTGCAGAATCTGCAACGCAGCCCAGGCTGGCCTGGACGGATTATGTAGCCGTTTGGTTCATCATCATTTGCCGATTCATATCTCTACTGCCAAGGCAGAACGACCAGTTCGTGTGGATGGCGACGCAGGAGGGCGATTTACCCCTTCCAGTGTGGTTCAAGAGCAAGAAGCGACGCGCCGAGGGCGAGCCAGTCGGCGGCGACGTCGCAGGCGCGAGTGGCGGGAACACCATGGACGACAAAGGCAAGCCTGCAGGCGCAGGAGGAGGTGCCAAGACCAACACCAATCTGACGAACGCGATGAGCCGCCTCCTCGTTGCCCTCAACAGGGACGTGGAGGAGCTCAGGTCCGCGGCCCACGAGCGGGCGTCGACGGTCGTGAAGAACCCTCTGGTGGGAGCACCGTCCGCGCAGGCAAAGAGTACAACGACACCAGCAAGGAGATGCAGAAGGCCGAGGCCGAAGGCGAGGAGCAGGACTGGCGGGAGGGGGAGTCCTCAATTTTCACAGCTTCATGACGTTCGTGGTGACAGCAGTGACGCTTCTACGGGCTTCCACGGAGGCGGATCTCAAGGAGGTCGAAGCGCACGCGGTCAAGACACTCCAGGAGATCCAGGGTTTGCCTCTTCGTCAGCCTGGCCTCATGGCCCCCGCATTCCGCGTCCGCGTGCGCAAGGCCATGGAGGGCCAGGACCAGATGGCCCACTTCGAGTGGGCGATCGACACGAGGAGCAAGACAGGCCAGAACTTGCACGAGCTGGTCCTGCGCACCTTCGAACTACAGGGTGCAGAGAGGACATCGGGATCGACGCCGCGGGGTCCGATGGCGCGGGAGATCCAGAGCCTCACCAGTGGGAAGAAGTGAGGCCGCTGCGGCTGCATAGGCACCAGGCGCTTCCGAGCAGCGCGCGCCCCGCTGACCTCCTGAATCGAGGCATCGTTTCTCCGGAGGCGGCGCAACGCGCAACAACGGTGCAGACATACTCCCATTCTTCTCTGCCTCCGATCCCTGTCTCTACCTTGCCTCCTGTTCGCCCTCGTCCGAGATCCCGCCAGCCTCCGACTTCGAAAGGCGGTGCCAAGGGCTCACGCCCTACGGACGGCGCCCCATCGGAGATGCGTGCCCCTCGGGTTGCGGGCCCGTGCCCCCGCAAGGGGAATGCGCGGCTGGCCCCATAGCATGCGATTTGATGGCCGACTGGCGGCCTCCTCAGAATCCGAGTGAGAATCAGTTTCTGCCGAGCGCATTCGAGGCGGTAGATTGGCTGTGACCACCTGCAGGATTCTCCGGGCTTGCCTTGTCTGGCCTCCTTCTCCTCATCCTCTTCCTCCCCCCCTTTTTAGGGGAAACGACCCTGGGGCTTTCCCCCAGGAGCTAGATTCATCCTGAGTCGTTCATGGAGGGCCCCGAGGGCCCGAACTCGGCGAAAAGCCTCAGGACCCGTTTCCCTCAGGACCCGTTTCTCCCCTGGCGATTTTCCCAGACCTCCGGCGGATTGCTTTCTGTTCAACCGCGGCGTTTCTCCCCGACTTGTGGCTCCCGTGAGCCGCTGTCGGGCCCCAGGTCTGGGACGCGCCGGCCCGGGCCAGCGCGGACACGCGTCAGCTGGGGCCGTGTCCCGAGCCTGGGCGGGTCACGAATGAGCTCACAGACCTGGGTCAGCGAGTAGGCGGGGAGGGGTGGTCAGCTCGGCGTGGCTCCGCAGCCCAGATCAGCCAGAGGGGATCGAGGGGATCGGTTGACCTCCAGTAGCGCTGAAACCTGTTCCAGCGTCCCGGACCAGGGGCGGAACGTTGCCTTGGTTAGGATACAACTCCTGGGAGGTTGAATGCAAAATCGACGCTGGTGCATCCCTGGTCAAAAACTCTTACTCTGGTCTAACCCCGCTTGATCCCACATGCTCCCGTTTAGTCCCGCTTAATCCCAGGTTTATCCAGCCTGATCTGGGCGAATGGCCCATTACTCGGGTTAATCACCCCTTAAGGTTGGGCATCTTATTGGGGAACCTCCTCCCGAAAAGCGGGGCCAGCGTTTCTTGATCACGTTGCTTGAAAGTTGACAGTTTCCTGGGCAATGTTCGCCCACAACAGAAGTTGGCCCAGGCTTGTTTCCAGAAGCTTCCGGAAAGCTGGCCCGGATTTCTTGCATGAGAAGTTTCTTGATCTTATGTTCGGCTGTATCGTTCTTACGAAGACCTTCCAGGGGGTGCGTCCCAATCTTGGGGAAGGGGTCGACCTCTGGGGCCCCCGGATCGAAAACACATCGTAGGACGTCCGGGGCTCGGAAGCCCCTCGGAGGCCCTGGAGAGGGTCCCCCTCCCCCTGCAGTCGGGCCGAGGTGTGAGGTCGAGGTCGGTTCGGGGAGGGTGCCGCAGTGGTCTTCGTGCCTGTTGCATGGCCTCGTGCATCCTGGGGAGGGTGCCCTCGGATGTCATGTTTCCTTTGGCCGACGGAGGGCCTCATGCTCTTGAGGCATGTTCTCTTATGGCCCAGGTCCGACTTCGACTAGACGTAAGAGTGACCTTTCGCCGGAGTGACCTTTGGTGCGGGCACAGATGGGTCCCCAGATGGCTGGAAACGAAGCAGGAGCAGCGGCTTGCGCGCCCAGGTTTGGTCCCCCCGCGGCCCACAAAAAGCCGCGCACCAAATGTCACTCTTACCCAGGGTCACTCTTGCGTGTAGCCGACGACTGTGCTCCTGCGCCGCGGCAGCATGGCAGCTGTGAAGGCTCACCGTGGGCCTGCCGAGCCTTGGAGCCAGCTTCCGGGGCTGGGCCGATCTGCTCGATCCGATCGTCGGTCTCGATCGCGGCCAGCCCGACCCGATCCACTTCCGACCTCCCGACTCCAATCCGATCCCAATGCGACTCGATGTGTGCAGCCGATGCCGACTCCGATCCGATCCGATCTCGGCGAGAGCCCGACCCGACCCGATTCCGATGGATCCCACGAACCGGTGCGGCACGCTGCTTTTTCCTGGCGCGGTGTTGTGCCTCCTGGCGCGGTCGATCCGATTCGAAGCCCCAGCTCCGTGCCGGTGCGCCCTGATCCGACGGTCCGTCTGGTCCTGGGCATCGCTCGGACTTGTGCATGTGTTCCTCGGCGAGGGCCACTGAGGAGCATCTTGGATCACTCTCGGAAAAGAAGCGCACGGGATCGGAAAATGCATGGCAAGTGGACGTCCGAGCGATGGCAAGGGTCCCGATTCGATGTTGGTTGATCTTGCCGGGGGAGTGCCGAATTTTGGAGCGGGCTTGGCGGTTGAGCTCGCTCGAGCGCCCCGATCCGACGTTCACTCTGGTGCCGAATTCTGGAGCGGGCCTGGGAGTTGAGCTCGCCCGAGCTCTGCATGCTCGGAAGCTCCCGCTGGCATAGCGAGCACGATCTGCAGCCAGGCTTCTCAGCGCAACAGGTATTTCATGATGCTCCCCTTCCAGACCAAACAGGTATGTGCCCCACCCAGCCAGCTGAACATAGCACCGCCGGCCCAAGGTCATTACCTTATACTGTCGCGCGAAGGCTCTTGTGGTGGGAGCACCCCTGCTGCCATGCAGGCCGGCCATGCAGGCCGGACAACTGGTGGCCTCTTGTCGGACTGAGACGCACGATTGCTTTCCGTCATAAGTGTTGGTCCATTGCGGGAAGCATAACAATCACAAACGGTTCGTTCTGATGCCGATCTTAAAAGCTTGAACATCGGAGCGCAACGGTGTTTCCATGCAGTTCTATCACACCTCAGGTGATACTTGATGTCCCCGTGTCTTGAGCGTGACTGAGTGGCTGTTGATGGCGGACGGCCACGTTCGGTGAACGTTGGGGGGACGCATAGAGGGGGCAGGGAGGAGAAGGAGGAGGAGGAGGAGGGGGAGGAGGAGGAGGAAGAGAAGGAGGAGGAGGAAGAGGAGAAGGAGGAGGAGAAGGAGAAGCAGGGAGAGGGAGAGCCAGATCTGACATCCTATCCATCTCGCCCATCCCTTCCAATTGCGCTGTTGTTTCTCTTTCCGCCGACGTGTGATCGCGGACCTGGAACTCTGCAGGGGGCACCATCGTGTTAAACGCAATTGCGAGAAAGGAGCTGCGTACGTTGGGCCAGAAAGTGGCGGATGAGCAAGAGGATGAGCCTGAGGAAAAGGGGGAGGAGGATGAAGGAGGAGGGCGAGGATGAACAGCGGCAGCAGAATTTGAAGTGGAAGGAGCGGGAAGAGCAAGGACCAGAGGAAGGCGGAGGAAGGGAAACGAGGGGGGCGACTACGATAAAATTGATGCGGATCCAGAACCGCGCGCCGCTTGCCGTTCCTTCCCCGCTGCGCGATTGCCAGCCCCCGCGCCGGCACGCGGCCAGCGAGGCCCCGCCCTCGCAGCCGAGCGGTGGAGGAAAGAAAGAAGGAGGGAAGACCTGCGCCGCCTGCCGCTTCCCGAGGCGCGACTGCCGCGGCCAGCACGCTTCAGCCCGCATCCTTGGGTTTGGAAAGCAGCGGCGAATCGCGCTCCGCCCGCCGTTTGATCCCCGCTGCGCGAGTGCCGGCCTCCTCGCCGCTCCGCCCGCGGCCAAGACTTCGCTCGCCTCGCCGGTGGGCCGACACGGCCGGGGGGAGAGGAGGATAGAGCGGGTCCAGGATCGGGACGAGCGGCGCCAGAGCGTTCTGGAACGCTCTGGAGAGATCGCGGCGCTCGATCCGTCCTCCAGAACCGCCGGATTTCATATATCCCCAGCTGATCCCGATCCGATGGCATCTCGTTCCGTTCTGGGTTCGCTGTTCCGGTGCAGAGAGGCGAGGGAGCAAGAACAGGAGGAGCACGAGCAGGAACAGGATGAACAAGAGGAGGAGGAGGAGGAGGAGGAGGAGGAGGAGGAGGAGGAGGAGAAGATAAAGATAGAGGAAGAAGAGATAGAGGAGCAAGGGGAGGAGGAGGAGGAGGAGGAGGAGGAGGAGGAGGAGATAGATATAGAGATAGAGATAGAGATAGAGATAGAGATAGAGATAGAGATAGAGATAGAGATAGAGATAGATATAGAGATAGAGATAGAGATAGAGGAGGAGAAGGATATCGACGGCGAATGTACCCCAGTGGGCTTCAAAATCGGGTTTCTTATCGTGTGTGTCTGCTGTGCTTTCCCAGGTCCGTAGATCTGGCGCCCACACGACTGACCCACGGATGTGATATCATTTTAGCGAGTGCCCGACAGATGATTTAGCGGGGAGCGCATCGACCCCCGATCGCCCGCTCAGCGCCGGTTGGGGCCGATAGCCCGCACCGCCCTGAAGCGTGCGGATATGCTGCCGGGATTTTGTCGCCGACCCGTCGGCGGTGTATCGCCGCCTCCATCTCGAGGATTCACCCCTTGAGCACGCCCCCACCTAAAAAAGTTGCCCCTCGAGAGGTGTGCGGGCGGTTCCATTGACGCGTGGCCCCAGCAGCCGACGCCCCACCGCCCTCGTCGAGGTGGCGTGGCCCGTCCGCATTGCCCTGGGCGCGGCGGCGGCGCCGGCGGCGGCACTCGAGGCTGGAGGCCTCTCCAGGGGGGGAGCCGTGGCTCGAAGAAGGAACAGCTACATCAGCACAGATGTTCGGAGGCCCGCGCGGAGCTCTTGGATCCAGGAGGGGAAAAAACACACAGACACAATGAATCGACGATCCCCAGGAAAATATTGGAAAATTTGGGAATTGGGCGGGGAGACAGAAACCCCGAAAATTTAGAAAAATATGGGGAATCATGTTATGTGTGTGTATTTATTTGTGTGTCCTTGGGCCCCTTGATGGATGGGCGCCGGGCGGCGCCCTCGGCGCGCTCCGCCCGCCGGGGCAGGAGGGCGCAGACGTGTGCATTTTTGTTCGGCGAGAACCATCGAGGACCATCCTGGAC